GGAAGCAGACCGAGTTCCCACCCTGCATATCCAGACCATCCCCATCCTGCAAGGGGCTTCATTGGGGTTCAAAATAAGAGCACCACAACACGAGCTCTCTGCAAGCTTGGCTCTTCAATAGGTCCCTCAGCCTCAGAAATGCCCTGCTAGGAGTCAAATGAAATCTAGTGCTAAACACTGCCCCTGCCCTCTGTATACATCACATTGCTCCGACTACTAGTTAACCAAAAGAACCGTACCAATCCCATCTGAGCTGGCTGAAGGATTGATATCTAACGCGGCCCCGGACAATCTCGCAGTATTTTTGTGCATGCAACCAAAATATTAAATTGGATTTTTTTTTCCCTGAGTGCAGTTTTCTTTTGGTATTTTTTAGGGCATTTGACCCCTGGAGTTTTTTCCTCAGCTATTTGATTCTGTCTTGGGATTTGGAAAGAGCAAGAGCAGTTCAAGGACTTTATCTGCAGTTCAGATTTAAAAAAAAAATGTTTTTTTTCCCCCCCAAAATTGAGGTAGACCCATAGTCAGAACAAAAGAGTAGACAGGGAGGTGTTGTGCTTAGACACTCTGACGCATGTAGACCTACAGCATATTATTTATATATATAAATTGAATTATCTGTTATAAATGTCCAAGCACTTCCACTCTGGAGATGATCCTTGAAGCATCAGCGTCTCTTTAAGCAATCGCATTGGCAGCTTCAGACATTTGGGCACCGTTGTGGCCACTTATGACCAAGCTAAAGATTTTCAATGCATCACAAATGACGTAGGCGCCTTACCTGCTTTTCTGACATGATGTACAGGTGCTCGTGATCCATTGAAAAAGCCATATCCCGTAATATGGGGCCGTTATCCACCACCTGCACAATCTCGTATTCCAGGGCATTATTGGTGGGGCCGTCCACGCGGATCTGGAAAGCAGGAACAAAGTGGGGAGAGAGAAAGTGAGTGGTGTTTCCCTGGTACCAGGCTTATGAGTAGGTCAGTGGGGTGGGCTGTCTCCCTCCAGAGCACTCTAGACAGCTCCTATTTCCACCCACATATTAGTGAAAATGTTCACTGCATCCTACTAAGATATGACACTCAGAGCATGCGGGCATCCTGGAGGGATAGGTCCAGGTTGAATTAGTGCATAATCTATCTGGATGGCCTTAGACACAAGCCGACCCACCAAGTATTGCCCTGTTTGATGCTTTCATGGAAAAAAACAGGAGGGGAGAGGACAGGTCTACAAGGTTTCTATTCAAGGCAGAACCTCTCCTGGTGAGCTGCTACTTCTCTTGTGTGAAGCAGGACGCAACAAAGGACATGCACAGGCCAGGTTTCTTGGGGTGATCTATCCAGCCCACATAGCAAGCCCACTTTCCACCCCAAGGAGCGTCCCACAAGAGGTAAGCCAACGGAAGGGCATCACACAGGCTTTCCCCTAGCAGCCACTAGTAGCGAGGCACCAAGAAAAGGCCTTTAACACCATGGGGCTGCTGTTTCTTCCTCTTTGTCATGGTACAGTTCCACATATATATATATGCCCTCAACTGGTAAGAAACACCCCACGACACACCCACACCTACACACACAGTCACTCGTTGCCAACAACCCTCTTCCCAGAGGGTGCCCCTTGCCGATCCGTACATACGTGAAAGCCTTTCCCCTTCATGCACATCCCTGCATCTGATGCTCACCCAGACACCAGACACAGCCACAAGCCACTAACTTTTGTGCTCCCTCAAGCCGGAGAGCAAGTGGGATGGCACACACCGCGGGCCTCCAGGTGCAAGACCCAGGGCTGTGCCACTCTCATGCCTGCAAGCCCTGAGCCCCCAGTCCTGAGCTAGGTCAGGCATGGACCTGCTCTCATGCTTATGTTCTCTGTCCCGCGTGATTAAGGAGCAGGTCTCTTCCCTCTTCCTCTACTCACCCCACAGAAAACAACCAGGACACTTGATGACACGAAGAAGCCCACTCGTCCCTGCCTTTCCCACGTCCCTACCACACAACCCAGGCACTTGTTTCTTTCCTCTCAGTCCTTGAGCCAAGAAAATCAATGGCTGAGTCACACTGCCTATTCGAGTGGTGCACAGAGAGCAGGAGGGAGGCACGGAGAAGAGGGTCCAGACATGAATTGGGGGTAGTGACTGTCATAGACCATCAGCACCCCAGCCAGAGGAGCCTGGAAGGCAACTCAGAATGGAGAAACTGAGGCACAGAGAAGTCCAAGAGGACTGACCATGACCTCACACACACTCAGAAGGGTTTAGGAGTCAAGACTGCCTAGGTTACAGTCTTGTGCTCAGTCCTCCTAATCACTCTGCCTTCTGAGAGGGTGAGCACGCACGTGTGCATTCACACACACAGGATGTGGAGAAAGCTGGAGGTAGCTGGTGAACTAGTGGCCACCTCGTCACAGTGCTGGACCAAGTGACACAGTCCCTCTCTGAGCCATCCCTATAGGAGGAGGTTGGATTTGGGCTCCAAACTCTGAGATCCTATTGGTTGTGCCCCATCACCTCTGGATTAATCCCAGGCAGCGTGCACCAATTTAGAAACAACCACATCCCAAAACCCGTGGGGAGAGCCCCCTGCAGCACTGTGGGAAGGACTCGCAGGCTGTCTGGCCTATTTTGCATTCAACCCAGCACTGCCCCTTGCCGTGCACTCTCCAGGGTCCAGCTACTAGACCCCATCAGCCCTCCCCTGCACGGACTCTTCCACAGCTGGATGGATCTTGCTGTCACGGAGTTCCCCTCCTCTGTGTCACTCTGCTGCTCAGCTTCATCTCGTTGCTCATAGGGCCCTGGCCAAACCTTTACACCCGTGCAATCTGCATTTCCACCCATGCCAGAAAGGAACAGACAGATGGCATAAACCTCTGCACTAGGGGTACTGCCCAATGCAGTGGAGACAGAATTAGGGGTTGGAGATGTGATGTATTGGCTCCCACCACCGGCTAGGTGCCTGCACAATAGAAAGAGTCTATTACCCCTTCCCCGCCCTTCCCCTGCCGCCTGAGCTGAGGCACTTGAATGCAGAAACCCTGCAATAGCTGCGCATCTGTCCTCTCCAGATCCTGGTCTGGTTTACACTGGCACATAAAGCTACAATGGTGTAAACTTGCCATCTGCCCAGGCACCGCGCTACCTCCTCTTCCTCCGTGAGGTCTATCTCGTCCCAATCCTAGCTCCCTCCATGGGAGCCCTAAACCAGAGCTGTGTCGGCATTAGGTTTCCAATATGATCAGGGTCAGGTGTGTAGGCTGTGAGGTTGCCACCTCCAGCCTCAACCAGAGACCTTCACCCACACTGGACACCTGTTAGAGAAGAACGGAAAGGGAGAAGGGGCAGGCCAAGGAAAGAGCAGGCTGGGGTAAAAATCTGTGCCGGCATGAAGCATGCCCCCCTTTTGCTTAATACAGGTAGAAGGTAGCAGAGGCTTTGCAGCAGGAAAGCACAATCCACGGAAACAGCGAGGAAGTGATTTAACAGCCATTGCTAACCTAATTGCCTGCAAAGTCATTATTTTGCAGCTGTGGCGGGAGAGAGGCAGGGACAGCTCTGATGGAGAGAGTCACACACTCACATGCACACACACACGCACACATACCCCAGACAGCCCTCAGACCAGACGTGCTGGGTGGGCACGCTGCCTGCAGGTGGATGAGGGGCAGGGATCAGTGTCTCTTGTTAAAGTCTGGTAACAATGGAGTGGAAGAGAGAGATCTCGGAGGGAAGATCAGCCACGCCACGGTTAGGCAGCTAAGGGGATCTTGATCTTCGTGGGTGTTGCACGGCCCTCTCCACTGCAGCAGGGCGCGACTGCCGGTGCGCTATGGGGCTGCTTCTTTAGCTCTGGCTGGATGGAGAGTCCTCTTGTAAACTCCCGTGCTCCCTAGCTCAATGCCCACCGTGTCTGCGGAGAGAGGAGCCATCCTGTCCGTGCCTCCTCTTGGTGCTGGGCATGAATCGAGCCGGGCTGCTCTCAGTCAGCTCCCCTCCAGGGTACCAGGCACCAGCCCCAGACGTGCTGCCTTTGACTCTCCGGCTCTCTAGGGACAAACGTCGGAAGAAAAAGCTCCCTGTCGAACCCTTACGCCAAACTCCTCGCACGCCTGTTTTGGGCCAGGTGGCATGAATCTTCCCTGGGAAGCCTGGAGCAGACATCTAACTGGGGTCTGATGGTGCTGTGTGGGTACGTAGGGCAGGCAGCACATGGAGTGGGAAGATGGCATAACTCGCTCTCCTTCCTGACCCAATGCAACCGAGGACGTGCCCGGGCAGAGAGAGGAAATGAGGCCTCTCCGGGTAGTGCTCCTGAATGCTAAACAGCAAGAGCTTTCCTTGGCACAGACCCCACAGGTGCCCTCCTGGTGTGCACAGTGACTCTCAACCAGGATGCTACAGCAAGCACGGCGTGAGAGCACCTACACATGCTCCACAAGAGAAACCCAGAGATTTCAAATGGGAACCCAGGGTGTCACAAAGAGTCAGCCCTGCCGTGGTCTTTCTGAGTCCTCTGCAGCAGCAGAATGACTCCAGTATTTTTCCATTGTCAAAAATAAATAAATAAATAAAAAAGCAAAAGGGAAGAGCTGGCATTTTCTGAGAGGTGCCTGGAGTATAACGAGTTTGAAAACACCCACGACAGACATCACCGCCGCACCTCCACCGAACCCATGCACTGCTACAGACAGTGGCCGCTGATCTCCACCCTCCCGTACACCTTCATCCATGGACCCACGCGCTATATACATGTCCCTCCGCATGTGAACATGCAGCCCTGGCACACACCCACAACCCTACGCCATCGCAAACCCGCCTGCTCCAATGAGTGTGTGCACACTTTTATGCTCGCTGTATACACAGATGCACACCACTCCAGGATCACCCCAGTGATCACAACCCTAGTGCCTGCTAACACCTGGTGCACCCAGATGCACCCACCTACCCAACACCGTGCACTAGGCCACCCCCCAGCAAATGCCCCTGCCATAATGATATTAATTCTGCTCCAAGGAGGGCTGCGGTCCTCAGCTTCATTCGGGGAGGCAGGCTGCTGTTAAAACACACGTGCAGCACTTCACAAAGGTCGTCCGTCGGGGGACCCATCGTGGCAGCTGCTTGTTTGTTTGTTTGAACATTATCTGGGTCTGGCTGTGTATTTCCAGCCATTGAAGTAGCACACGATAAATGTCCTCTCCCACTAGCAAACATATGCTTGCACTCAAGCGTTCTGGCTAGGCCTCACCTCCAACGAGCTCCTTAATGAGCAAACAGCACAATTAATCTTTAAAGACTCAGGCACCATCCCCTGCTCGGCCTTGGCTGCAGCCGTTCTTCCAGGAAAGGGGAGGCTGGAGAGGGCAAGCGCCTCCCTGAGCCGTATCTGGGCCCCTCCAGGTGGCACTGGGTTGGCAGCAGCTTGATGCGCCATCAAGAGCTGCTGGGTGATGTCTTGGAAAGGGCTTATTTTTGGTGTTACTCTTTGGCTGAGGAAGCAAGGGATGCCATGTCTACAAGGCCCAAAAGGAGGGGGCACGGAGAAGCTGGACAGAGGGGTGTGGGCACACAGCAACCCAGGGCAAAGCCAGTCCTTGAAGGAAGAGGAGAAAGTAAAATAAAAATTAAAAAAAAAAAATGATGAAAATTATAATAATGATAATGATGTGGATGATAAACAAATAAATCATTTAAAGAGTCAATCTAAACAGTGTTAGATCTGTCTCACGGGCCTGAGGATGGGTAGTCTGATATCCGAAAGCTTACCTAAGTCTATGCGAACCATCCAATTGGACCAACAACGAAATACCACCCACAAGAACTCTTGCCTTTTGCACATTTGTCCAAGGGCATCCAGAAATAAAATGACTCCAGCCACAAGAGTGAGAACGAGCGCTGCCAGCTGACAAGCAGAGAAT